TTTTACGTGACCAAAATAGTTTTTTTTTTTTTGGTAACCGAGGTGTCCGGGCCAGCTTGCGCGCACCTCGACTATTCCTCGGGAGACTAAAGACAAAGAACCCACCGCCACGCCCCCACTTAAATCACAAGCGCCAATGTGAATCGAACCCTGATCAAGTGCGCCTAACCACACAATCCCAAGTACGCCCTAACCAACTGAGCTACCCATGGGTGGGTACGTGATCAAAATAGTTTATTACTTATTATGAACAAAATGCATTGATTTGCGTCAATAAGCGGCTTGAGCGTATCACGTCGAACCAAATTCTAGTTTTCTCTCTATATTTCGCATATCGAATCTCGCGCCGTTTGTTATTATGTATATGAGTTTTGTCCGATGTTACCAATCCTATGTTCCGATGAACTGGGTAACTATAAAGTGGGGGCCAAGATTAGGGTTTTGGACTATTGAGCATGATTATGTTAAATGAAAGTCAGCATCCTAGGGTTTAGTGCGAGAGACTTTCAAGCTGTCTTTCTTCGACCTTTTCTTTACCTCCTTTTCATAGGGGATGAATCCACGATTTATAAGATCATTTCTATGTATGGACGATAAACATGTCATTTCCATTCATTTTCTTGTCAGTGAGCTTTGTCGGTCCAAACCCATGGTGTGAATTTAACCTAATGTGGTTGGAACAAAATGACAATCCACACTATAAACTAGTGCGAGCGCATAAAGTACGTCTCCATCCAAAACAAACCTAAATCATGATAACAATCTCTCTTGCCATATTCTAAGTCTTTGTTATCTCAGGAACAATACAGGACCAAATCCACTGATTGATATTCTTATCGTAGTTTAATGGTCTTGATAGGAGTAAGTGAAGAGTCGCCGAAGAACCCCGATTTGTATAATGGTTAGTTCGTTCTAGATGGGGTCATGGAAACCATAAAGACAATGGAACAAGAAGCATATATTATATGTTGAAATGTAGTGATATGGCCATTAAGAAGTTAAATTATGCCAAACCCTAATCATTATGTTGTGGGAAACAGCTACAATACCACTCCCCACGAGCGTCCACAATGTTAGAGAATTCTCCAATCATCCTAATTATCTCTAACAAACGACTTGTTCCCCCTCGGCTCGAAGAACACACCTACGACCTATCTCACCAACTCCATGAAAGGTATCCATGCTCTACCACTTTGATGGTGATGACAAAGTTCTTTTCTCTATTGCTCATGGACGACTCTTTAGTTAGGTGTTTTCGGCCTTTCTTTTGTTCATAATGGGCGAGGAACTTTTTGTCACTTTCAAGTATGATATTCCCCTCGCCACGAATCAATTATTGCGAGTCGAGATACGGTGGATTCTTTTCAAAGAAGAGTGATAGTGTTTTCGCCCGCGGCAATTGACTTGACTGGACGAGCACGGTACGTGCCAAGGACACGAAAGTCTCTCAAGAGCCGGGAGTTTGAAGTCTTTCGAGCACTCGGTAACTTGTTTTCGACGATCTCGTGTATCTGACTAATTTTTCCATATGAAATGAACCCGGTTCCTTTTTTATTTACTAAGCCCTAATAAATATTGGAGAATAAAAATGGTCAAATCGTTGCATGAAAAGTGGTTAATGGCGGAAGTCATCTTCTTTTCGAGCCAAAAATTAGGTACATTTAGACTTTCATCGCTGACAAATTACCAAAAAAATTCAGGATTTTCCATTCATACACAACCTGTGTGAATGAGATATGTATAGTCAAATGATTGTGCTTCCAAAAATATTTCTTCAAGCTGCAAATTGCATTATCCAGATCAGCCTAACTCAAGAAAAAATGTTTAGTCATTGAGCGAATCCTCCATATAAAATGGCTGTTTATCTTTCACTGAATTTCACACTTGACTTACCAAAAAGAAGTTGAAAGTAGGGCCAATTTGCGAGTTACAATACATTAGCTCAGGTCAATGGAGGGAGAGAAATCGACGTTAAAATAGACTTTCAAAAGAAGCGTAAGGCAAATTTTCTGGTCGACTATTTCACATTTGGTCCCTCTGACCAAAGAAAGTGTCTGCACTTTTTATCAATCAAACTATTAGATGAGAGAATCGAACTCTTCCTTAGTCCTTATCTCTAGCTGCGCCTGGGGGATCGATCTCTATCATTCCTAAGATGAAACTATCGCCGAAAGTAAGCTATTTCGAGATGTCGGGAGAGGATCCGTGATGACATCGACTACCTTGACCGTATCCGATTCTTTGTCAGCTGAAAACACACCATATTAGTATCCTTGAAGATTATGGATGTCGCATCGAAGCATTCAAGGCTTCGCCACGATTTTCCACAAGTTCTACGACTTATCGATTACTTAGACCGCGCCTTTCTTTTGGGATGTGCAAGACAAAGTGCTCAAGTGCTTGGTTTGGATTAAAAATCACATTCATTCAGGGAATATGGGGTCTAGACGAAGGGGAAACCGCTGTTCTTGGTGCTAATTGCAATTCACGACTCGCGCCCGTGAATCTGGAATAGCGTTTTGCTTGGCTTACGAAGCGAGCTAGCCATATATTTCACGGGCTCGAAATTTACCCATTTGAATTTGAATTGCTCTTTCAATTTTTTGTTTAAAAATGCGGGGGGCCAACGTCAACAGAAAGGATGGGATCTAGTGACATTAACTTTGCGAAATTAATGCGGTTGCGTGCTTCGTGAATCTCGAACTCGAGCGAACCCGGTTGACTTTGACCGAGGACCGGGGGAGGGGGGGCCCATGAGGAGAACGAGAGGAGCATTTAAGGTTGGACACGGCCCGATCGATGCGCGATCATTTAATACGGCGTCGATTCGGTATTAATGCGCGCGGAAAATCATGGAGCTGAAATCGAAAAGATGGGCACATGGGCCTCAAGTTTCCAATTGATGCTATTGGGATGTGCAAAGAAATTTAGAGTTAATCAATGCTTGAACTCAATCCAAAATCTATGTGATAGATTGTGAATGTGGATATCGCCCGTATCTATCATAAATTGAGTTTGCGTTTGGATGGTGTTCATAATTTATGAAACTCACCATAACTAGTTGGGCCCTTGTAAGCCCAAGCCCATGCCTTTGCCGTGCGTCTGATCTAAGCCCACCACTTCCAGCATTCCGTAGTATCCTCGAGACCATGCGGGGCCTAGCCGGGCCGGGCCGGGCAGATGAATTTTTAGCTAGATCGAGCAGATCATATTTCGGTAAGCGATGAAATTCTCGCGAATTGGCAAATAGGGAAAAAAAAACGAAAAGCATATGCGCACGCGTTTTCGTTCTAGCATTGAGTTTGTCCATCGCTTCATGGCCCCTGGATTGAGGTTTTGCAAGGGGCGAAGCAGAACGCGATTTTCGAATTCCACGAGTTGAGAGAGAAGATTTCGTGCATGTGTTTGATAGATGAATAGTAAATCTTGATAGCTCGGCAGTTTCAAGTTGCATTAGACCAGAAAAGCGAGCCCACGGCCCAGGAGATGTGCAATGCATTGGACATGTGGCTGATGTAACCAAGGCGTCTAGGACAAAGCGTATTAGTGTGATGTCTCAAGAAAGCATTGTGGTAATAAGTTTGATTTGTCTTCTTAGGCCAAGTCTAGGTTATAATTGAAATGATTTTCCCGCCATTCTCCCGATCCTAACGGTGGATGACCTGCTTTTGACAGAATCAAATCGGCAACCTTAGTCCGACGCAATCGGTGAAGTCTGGTTAAGAATAGCATCGATCTCCTTTGCAAGAAGACGGAGAACCTAAAGAATCGAGAATTGGTGAGATGAATCCGAAAAGAACACACTATTTCTTACTGTACACACTAAACAAGGATGGTTATACCTCGAGTTTGCTTCTCTACTTGAACAGAGAAAGAAACTGAGCTAGATCTTGCTCATGCGATAACAGCAATGGGGTCGGGCCATGGACGATAATGCTCGACAGCGACACCGTGGCTAACCTAATTTACTTGGCCACATGGCTTAGCTGCAATATTATTACTGTTACACGGATACGACAAAACCTTTTCCTTTGTTTCTTATCGAAACTCTGAACGTTCGAAACATTTTTTGAAACAGATGTGTTTCTGAAATAAGGTGGCCCGTGCAATAAAAATGGAATCCGTTTGTTTAGCAGAAAAAATTTTCCTCATTTTTCGGTATTTGGTTCGCTTAGGAAAATGAGTCAATGTAAAAGGTTTTCCTACCAAAACTTAATTTCGGAAAAATGATTTCCTCTTTGAAAGAACCGGAAAAAGTTTTTCAAAATATGACTATCAGCCCTCAGACCCAAAACTTTACACTTGGACATGAAAGCCTTAATGTTGGTTCCTGGGTCCTAGCATTTAGGATCAGGTCTCTGGCGGCTAGGCCTGGGTCCATTTAGGCTAGGCCCAGGCCCCCGGTGCCCACGCCCGAGTTCATTGAAGCCGAGCTTGAACTCTTGGTGGCCGTACCCAATGTTTTTGGCACCCAAACTCGGATCCATAAAGGCTATGCCCGGGTTCCGACACTCGAGCTTTGGTCTCGACTCTCAGGTCGGGGTCCACAAAGGTTGTGCTCAAGTCCTCGATGCCCAGACTCGGGTTCTTGGTTAATGACACGTTTGTTCTTATAAAAATATATATATTTTTTAAAAAAATTAAATTTCTAATTATTTTTTAATTTAAAAAATCAAAAATTTTAAATTGTTTTCTTTTCTTCTTCTTTTTTCTTTTTCTTTCTTTTCTTCCTTTTTCTTTTTGCTTCTTCCTCGGCTGGTTACTGGCCAGGGCAACAGCCGGTGAGCTTGGGCTCTGCCAAATCGTGTGAGCTTGCTTGAGGTTGGCGAGCTCTCGGCCTCTGGTGACAAGCCTCGAGCTCGTCGACCCCGTCGCCATGGCCATTGGCCGATCAAGAAAGAAGCAAAAAGTGAAAAAAGAACACATTTTTCGTGAAACAAACGGGCTCTAAATTAGAATGTCATTTGTCGTGCAATATGTTTTCTATGATATCAAAATGAGAAATCTATGTCACGACGTAACTACGCGCGGTGTCATCTCGGATCGACACTATTCACGACTAAAAGTCGGTGTCAAGAACGCCATGCCAATCACACGCCCAAAGAAACTCCGCGGTCCACACTTCCAGAGTCTCGTCGCCTCGCCTCAGAAGAAGTCCCCCCCCTCTTCCCTTCCCTCACGCAATCCCCAGATCCCTCCTCGTTGCCCGATCCACATCGCGCCTCGGAGCTCGCGAATCCCTCCTCAAGATCGTGTTAGCCCATGATTCACGATACGATTCGCATTCCCGTTTCGTGCTCGACAGCTCGAGCTCGGTCGCTGGCACCGATTTCGTGGGCGACTCAGGTTCTTCTTTTCCGCCTCCTCAGATCTGCATTGTCATTATAAATGCGGGATTCCGGGTCTTAGATCTGATGGGTCGGTCCCAGTTCTTGACGACTGTTGCGCAGGCTGCGTGAGCTTTCTGTGATGTTTATCTGACTGTTCTTGAATTTTGCGGAGCTGGGGCGCGGCGGAAATGGAGGTCTCCTCTGGACACTCCCCGAGAATTAAGTTGTCCCGAGCCAAGAGTGAGGGATCTGAGGGAACCCATTTGCAGGATTTGGATATGGAGTCATCCGTTTATGGTGGGTCTGGGCAGAGTCGGGCTCATCAGTACCATTACATGAATGCATTGGAGATCTTGAGGGAGACCGTGCGGATCCTCCGGTACAATCTGTCCAGCTTCATGCTGATCGCGGCATTGCTCATCTGCCCTGTTTCTGCGATAACTCTGTCCAATGCGTTGGTTGATCAGTCGATGCTGAAGAGGCTGACCGTTAGGCTCGTGCTGGTGGCCCAGTCGAGCGGACTCCCACTGAGGCCTTTCGTCAAGCATTCGTGCCAGAAGTTCTCCGAGATGGCAATCTCTTCGGCCATGTGCTTCCCCTTGTTCGTGACGCTGTCGTTGTTGTCGAAGGCTGCTGTTATATACTCGGTAGACTGTACTTATTCGAAGAAGAGAGCCGATTCGTCGATGTTCTTTGTGATAGCCGCCAAAATTTGGAGGCGGATCGTCGTGACTTACTTGTGGACGTGCATGGTCAGTGTGAGTTGCCTCACATTGTTTGTTGTTCTTCTGGTTGCCATTTGTAGCGTGTTGTCTATCATCAGAGTTTTTGAGACTCTGATTGTTTATGCAGCCCTTTTGGAAGGGTTGGTTTTCTCAGTCGCTTTTGCTAATGCCATTATCATTTGTAACATTGCTATAGTCATATGTGTACTGGAGGATGTTTCTGGTCCTCAGGCCTTGTTCCGGTCGAGCTCTCTAATAAAGGGCCAGACTCACGTAGGGCTCCTGATATTCCTTGGGTCGACAATCGGGATGGCATTTGTACAGGGCTTGTTTGAGCATAGAGTCAAGGTACTGAGCTACGGAGATGGGTCCTCGAGGATATGGGAAGGGCCTCTCTTGGTGATAATGTACTCATTTTTGGTGCTTATCGATTCCATGATGAGTGCAGTATTTTATTTCAGTTGCAGATCACATAGCATGGAAGCATCGGGTGTAGATCGGCAACCGATTTTGGAAAGTATGGCTATCTCTGCCGAATCAATGGATATCTAACCAAGTGCAAGCACAGGATCTATATACTTCTATCTGGAAGAGGAGAGTTGCATTAGAAGTTAAGTCCATTGCCATTTGTTATTCTTTAAGCTCTCGTATATTGATTAGTATCCAGTTGTTCCCAGTTGAGCTATTCCATCATTGGTTTGATGTGGAGAACAAAACTAGATGGCTCCCAACCATGTTGGTAGGTAATTCATTCTACTGATTATATTGGTCTTCAGCACACAATGACTCCGAAAGAAAGTTGAAAATGGCAGTCACATATTGTTGGAAATATTACTCTGAATATACAGAATAAGATAGATAGATCATATGAATTTGCTTTTGCACCTTGGGTTCTTTCAAGATTTTCATTTTTGGGTTGTTCTATATGCGACCGCGTACTCAGTGGCGTTGTGTATTTTAAGGCATCAGGCTTCATTAGCTTCAACATTATGCATTAAGCTGGAACTGAGCTCCAATGCACAGGGATAGGTTTTAACTTTCTAGTAGAGAGAATTGCTTAATTTTGAGTGGAAATAGTTTTTCAGCATATGTTGAACATTCGATTATACCCTAGTAATTGCAAATTGTAAGTTGTTGTCACCTTTGTCCTTCATTTGTTGCGAACTTAGTCTTACGATCTTACTCATCAAGAGGAAACAGAGCAAGTGGCTGTTGCAATAAATCGTGATCTAGTAAGGATGGTATTCCTGACTCATATGTGAAGATATCGTAATTGTTTGGGATTCATGACTTTGCCAAAGTTGTGTCATCAAGTTATCTGCGGGATACTGCTCAGTGCTCTTGTCCTTGATGCTTGTTTACAGACAGTTTTGTTGCCACTTTCAGGTGGAAACAGAACAGTTACCTTTGTCCATTATTTAACTTTAAGGTGGTTGTATACAATTCTTATCAGAACGAATCGATGCCTACTTCAAGAAAAAAGCATATACGGTCGAATTACAAGCTCGTAGCCGATTACTCAATAAAAAGCATAACAATTCATAAAGATTTGCCTACCTCGGTTGTTGATGTTTTTCAAGTAGTAGTTTTGCCATTTCTTCCAAGGCCAATGTGAAATAAAAATATCATTAATCTCTTTTGCTTTAGATGAAATTCTTGTATACTCCAATGTTAAGCTTATTCAATTGTGAATTTGCTCTCAGCGACCATTATTGAGCATTGTAAGAGGGAAGAATCTAGAAAAGGATTCGGACACACATGAGCCTATTTGATCGTAATCATTGAATGATGTGAGATTCATGTGGAGCTCACGTGATTGAGAGGCTCAGATTGACCAAGCCCATTTGTGTTGGGACCGGCTAATTATTTTTCCTAGAAAAGAGCTTTTGATGTCAACATCCCCGGCAAGCCCCGGATCGATCCTGAATATCTGGGTGATGGTGTCATTATTTCGTGAGTAACAGCAGCCACATTTTACAAGTCTCAGGATGTGGTACGATGATTTTAATGCAAAATCAACTTGTGGTGGTCCCAAAGATGATGTTAATAGCTGCCAAAGTTGTAGGGATCCAAATATTATTTCAACCACTTCAGTAAATAATGAATGCTACTTCTCACTTCGGGTGCCCTCAAGATTAGGAAAATTTCCACGATATACTTGCTCGAGAATAGTCGGCAAAATAACAACCAATTATGGTACAGTTACTTGTAGAATCATCCGACGATGCCAAGAAAAAGAAAGATCAGTTCATATGATGACCATTGCCTTGATGTCCAAGAAAATGGTACTGTTATTGGTAGTAACAAGTATCAATTTGAGCAAAGCATAAGGACTAGAAAAAACCAGTATCAGTTTAGGAACATGCTTTTACAACAGGGCACTTATCCTATAGGGAATACAAAGAACAGCCCATCATGAGCAATAAACGTTCCTATTATGACCAAAAAAATGAAGTATATCAAAAAACTGACATGCTGACACAAAATAGATGTCTTCGGAAAATCTTGCGATGGCAAGCGCTAATTTACAGCAAACAAGTACCAGGCACAGCACTTTGGTATAAAAGAAGATACCAGGCATAGCACAGACCACTAGGCATACACGCGAGACATACCGCTTGCTTAGTCTCTTGACGGCTTGAGGATATGAATGATGAACTCAACAAAACTCCCCAGAAGTCACCATGATGCTGCTAGAAGAACAAGGCATACGTCACCCTCACACTTCAGTGGAAGAGAGAAGGGGACTGTTCAGACCGTCTGAGTGTACAGAAAACTGAATTGGCAATAAAGCAGGGTCCTGGTAGGCAGTCACCAATTTATCCAAAAATTCCAACATTGATGGATCGTTCTGATCTTCCCTATCCTTCTTTACCAAAGTCTGGAAATGGATTAACCAAAGTGAAATTACATGGGAGGCAAAAAAAATTTATGACAGGATCAATTTAGAAGGTAAGAAAAAAAAAAGAACTTGATTATACTACCACTTGCAGCATGTTTTCTTGTTCTTTTTTTTAAACATTTTTGGCTTCTTTTGAAGGGGAGATTTATTTGATTTTCTGGGAAACACACGAGGCGAAGAAATCCTAATGCAAGCCAGTTGGAAAACAGGAGAACCCTTCTTTAACATGAAATCTGATACCTCTATAAGAAGGTTATTTGGGAAAAAAATAGTGAAAATCATGCGAAAGCTGCATTATTTGTACATGATCCAAGTGACGAATATTGCATTTATTGAACCTAACATCCAACAACGAAGCTATCTCTTCCCAGTAGCAGAAATGCAAACGATAAACCCCAGCGTGTAAGCGTGAATAATATTAACCAATAACACCATACCTCTGCAGAATAAGCAACAAAGATGGGCAAGAAGCGTTTCCGGCAGTACTCATTGAAAAGAAGAGTGAGGACTGGAAGAGGGAATATAAGGGTTGATGCCAAAGAGAGCTTCTTCAATGTAAAGATTCCCACGGCGATACAATGCATCAGCACTAGAGAAAATATCATTGAATTGTGAACTATCGGCCAAAACTTTCCAGCAGTTTCATACTTTGGTTCATAGACATTTAAGAACTGCAAAATATGAGTGCACGTATCAGTGTTTTGCAAATCTAAATATTGATTGCAAAGTGCGGTGGAGTCTTCACGTTGATAAATAATTAACATAAGAAAATTGGGGACGTTGATAAATAATTAACATAAGAAAACTGGGGACCCAGATATTTGATACGAGCAACCCAGTTGGTGCAGAAATGCCTTAGATCATTATCTGGTTAAGAATGTCAAACACAAAGCAATTGAATCTTTCAACGTGCACCCATGAAAAGAGGCATGAAGCTACTCTGTTAAATATTCCATATCAGCCTAGAACTAAGCTGAAAAAGTCCAAAGGTGGAAGCTACAACTCAATGATGAGAAAGTAAAAAGAGATGACCACTGACCTGGTTCCGAAAAATAATATATGCAAGACACAGGTAAATCAGGAGGAACGGCAGGATAAGTGGAGCCAGGAAGAAGTATGTAATACCCAGTAATCCAAAGAAGAGAATTCGTGGGATGTCCCTATGATAGGGAATTGATGGAACTTCAAATTCCTCATCTGTATCTCTCACAAAAGGTCTTTTTAATAGACTCCAAATGAAAGGGATTATGCGAAAGAGTTCTGATGAGGTGCTGGTCCATCCAGATGTGACCACATAAGCTATAAAGAATGATGCCTGCCGAAAAAAAGCATGTATAGATGTCACATTGCAAACTATGACAAGTCTAGATCAACATTTTAAATGGTCACAACTTAGGAGCATAGTGCATTATTGGCAATCTGGACTGACAATGCAGCTTAGTTCCACAATCAGGCGACTCCAGGGGCATGAGCTCCCAAAAGATAAGAGTATCAAATTCGACAAGGCCCACGGGGGAAAATGATGCATTTGCAATAGCCTTAGGCTTGGCCCCGAGTGTATGTTGCTGTATTAAAATGTTCGGAAGGAAGTAGGAAAGCCTACAACCACAAAGTCAGCAATGATATTGACAACTAAAACCATAGCTAATGACTTGATGGAGAAGCTTTGTCAACTATATCTGACCCAAGTTTTCCCACTCGGAGTCTCTTGTCAATGAAAAAGCCAATACTTTTGTATTAGATGCAAGCTATTGAGCAAAAGTCATTTTGCACTTTTAATGATCATTTTAGACTTCGAATGGCATACATTCTACTCCGAAAGAGTTAGACATAAAAGTTTCTTTAGCATCTTCTAACAAATTTTCAATCATATGTTTGTATGCATTCTACTCTGAAAGAGTTATACATAAAAGTTCCTTTAGCATCTTCTAACAAATTTTCGATCATATGTTTGTGTGCAGGACAAGACACTCCTCTAAAATGCCAACTAGAAGTTAATCTTCAAAACCTCCATTGTTACTCAAGCCTAATTTTCCAGAAGACGTTAATAGTTAGCTTGATATCAAAACTACCAATATCAGATATATGCCTAAATGATTTAAAACAACATAAGGCTAGCTCAAGAGGCAATATGTTGAGCATTTTTTACTTGATACGGTTAGTTTATTAGGCAGGTCAAAGTCTGCAGAAAAATAACAATCCAAATAGCTAAAAGCCTATAAAGTAAAAATTTATATCCGGCCATCTAACCATCTTTTACAAAGTTAACAATAATTTTGGAAGGTAGTAAAATTAAGAACCCCAGTAATGAATGATAAATCGGGAACAAAAATAAAAGCTAATGAGTTTGATGTGTCATTTCCTAATTGCTGAGCACAACTATGTCCAATGCTCAGCATTATCACTTCAAATTCCAAAATTGATACATTAGAACACTATGTCCCAGAAAGAAGCAGGCTCACCTGCGCTGGAACTGAAACACCAAGCTTGGCTGGAATATTTGTGGGGTCAAGGAATATGGAGACCTGATATAGAACTGACCCTGAAAAAACCGTTGCAAAAAATATGTTCCATATCGTGAACCAAAGCACCTTGTTGCAAGCACTCCTCTCTATCGCACTATGAGAAATATATCCCTGAATTGAAGAGAGAAACTCCATTATAGGAGGCACAATTTTCAGGAACAGCTGAAGAATGAGACTGGGAAGATAGCCAGTAACCACTTGACTGACAAATGTTCTGCAAGGAAATTTATGAGGTGAGGCTTTGCATCATTGAGAAGTAACACAGTAAATACTGAATTTTCAGCAAACATCAGCAGCGCTAAAAGGTGTGTGTGCGTGTGCGTGTGTGTGTGTGTGTGTGAGAGAGAGAGAGAGAGAGAGAGAGAGAGAGGCAATAAATAACACCACATGTAAGCACAGATGTGCCGGATTAGTAATTTTAATAATGATTACTTACAAGGTTAGAATGCTTTTTAGGAAGGGGAACAATACTTCCAACTGACTCAGGTTAGTCAGACCTTGCACCACTAGAACAGGGATGAGAAATAGTATTGTGAGAAGTATACAGGCAACTATGACAACCAGCTTAGATATCCACCTCCGCATAAAGGATGAAGAAAAGAAAGGCCAGTAGACATCATGAGGTTCAGGAGCTTCCTCTGCTAGCCACTGAGTGGGATCAATCCCTTGTTGCAAGTGAAAAGCAGTTGCAGCAGCATACCTCGAGTTGAAGGAAACAAAGGCAGCGCGAGCTTCCTATTAATTTAAGAAGGAATCAAAAAGCAATAAGATACACATGCTCAAGACGGAAACAAGGGCAGAAATATGTATCAACATGAACAGTATTGATTCAGAAATTTTATTAAATTAGAAGCACTATGCATCAAACCCATTGCTCAAGACGTTAATACCCTAAAAAAAGGTACTACAACATGAACAATATTGATTTGGCAATAACTTTTTCATGTATGGCTGTAATTTAGATGCTACCCATGATAGGATGAGATTCTTGAAAATTTTCCTCTAAAAAGAAAAAAAATTTCAACATTTTCAGGTCCAAAGGGATGGGTTGAGCACAAGTTAAATCATTAAAATTTTGAGTTGGAAACGTACATCAGAACTCAAATCTTCAGCCGACACTCCTCTCCTCTTTTATCTTTTTTTATACTAAAAGGAAAGGTAACACTCCTGTTTTGCAGACATTGGACTTCCATGTGAGAATCATGATTGAAATTCTGTTGCAACTATAATTCCACTTTGTACTGGAAACAATCATATACTCGTTTGAGAAAATTGGTAGCCATGGCAACAACATTTCTTGTGCTATGCCTAATAAAAAAGAAATGAGCGTTGCCAGGATGTCTATTCCCACAGGAGAATGCAAGCAAGTTCTCCACTTGGCTTATAGATGTATGGCAATCATAGTAAGAACGATGATGCGACTTTAGCTTTATAGAAGTTATCTTCCTAGACCTACGCTATCCCTGTTTACATGTAGTACTCAATTGAAGGCAGGATAAGGATCTTTCAAGGGAGGAAGTACACATGATAAGGAACTAAAATTTGTTCAAAGAATTGAGAAATAACTATGCACGTACTTCTCCAGCCAACGAAACTTCAGATTGCTCTAACCTCACATTCTCCTCCAAGTCTTCCAGCTTTTTCTCATAGTGATCCACAAGGTCAACTTTGCGTCCGAACAGACCAAAGCAGCTGTTACGCTTATACTTCTGCTGCGTGGGATCAGCTTGCATGTGTATAAGCCTTCTATACAATTTCTTAGTATCGTTCTAGAGAAAAATGAATTCATAAAGTAAGAGATGGGTTCAGAGACTAATGGCATTAAGGGGAAGACAAAACTAATTTGAATCTGTAGAGGCTCAACTAACCCAGAAAATAATCAATCCCTTGAAGCCACGGAATATTTCGCACATAAGAATCAATGAATATTACCCATTAACCTAAATATGACATACAAAATCCGAGCCCGAACTTCTGTGGTGCATGCACTTATGGCAGCCTCTATTCCCATGTAAACATATGAGGGTCGTAATCATCTATACCATGAAACAGATTTTCGATGGAATGAAGGCACACATAGGGCAGAAAGCAAAAGCACTGAACTCACCTAAAAATTCCCCTACTTACCACCAATGGTCTATGATAAAGCTGGCAAATACGGAAAAAAAAAGGACATGGTTCCGTGTGACTCATATATATGTCATGAAAAGCACAAAAAGCCAAGATTACTCAATCAAGCGTGCTAGAATTGAACACATAGGTAGCTTGATCCCATCTAAAGAAAGCCGGCACAGTAATTCTCCTTCGCCTAGAAAAGCTATAAGTCAGATGGTTTCATCATAACCACTGGAGCCTGTGAGATTTCCAACTCCTTTGGAAAGGTGCTGTATGCTTTTCTTTTTTTTTTTCAAATGAGAGCAGCATCCTTAGTCTGTCCATCTATAACTATGGTTGCAAAAGGCCATCAGTTTAATATGATAAATACTAGTCAAACTATATCAGAAGTACTATATTCCGTATGGCTCTGGCTGCAAAACACAATCTCCAGATCTCTGGGAACCAATCACAATTTCAGAGTGGATACGAGAGCTATGACAAATTCAGGCCAACTTTATATCATACAGATGTATCAAGTGAAATGGTCCATCAACCAACTGGCTGGGCTTAGTGGTAAAGGGACGCCTGAGGGTGAATTAGGTCCATGGCTCAAGTTCAAGCCTACACACTACCAAGTGTAAAATATAATCATGTTTGGGTCTTTCACACGAGTTTTAGCTCACATCTTACCCGATTCATGAGATTAGTAGTATTAATCAAGATTATGTGGTTTAACTAGTTAAGGTGGTGGGCTTCCTTGTCACTGAAAAAGGAGTAAGCCATCCTCGGGTATACAGCTAAGGAAAGATGATAAGAAAGATAAAGTAGCTCAAAGTACTTACAATTAGGTTTCGCAGCTTGTTGGTCCGTCGAACGACCATGTGACACAGATATGTAGATGGATGATATTCTCTAAAGAATCTCTCAACACTATCACTGACACTGCTTCCAACAGACACAGGGATGCTCCGCACAAGGATGGTGAACTGATGTGGTTGGGGCTTAGAGGCATAAAAGTAAGCTATCCTTTTTGATGAAACATAGTTGTATTCCTGCAATTACATAGACTACTTTAATATTGCTAAACTTGTTCTCATAATATGCCACATCCTTCCCTGAGAACTTTCATACACTTCTAGGTCCAGACAGAAAGGTATAAGAAATTAAATAATCCCCTTAATGACCAGTTTGCTTCTCATGAGATGATTAAAAAATCAAGCAAATAAGACACAATTTATTTGTCATTTGCCTTTTGATATGATACTAAAAAATTTCATGTATCATCAGTTATCGCAGAGCATAAGAAGAAACTTTCAAGGATAAAACCTTGGAGCTCACATAGTACAGTAGAAAGCAGACAAATATCGTGACAACGTAAACTGCACAGAAGTGAACCCATAACCTGCCAAAGAAATAAAAAAACCAAGGTTATGTACTTTTCACAAAACTTAAAGTTTAAAACGAGAAAGAGAATTTCTTTAAGGCGATCAAAGCATAGACGTACAAGATAGTACATCTATTAATAATTAAGATGTACTTGCCAGAAAGGCTTCGTGTTTCAGTCAAATTTCTCTCTCATACTCCGATCAGGTCTTCACCTAATAACTTGACCAATTCATTACCAAATAAACCTTAATGAAGCTTGCTACTAAAAGATTTGACACAACTGAAGAAGGTGACAACCTAAAGATGATGTTTGGTCAGTTAAGCTTAATTTCAGTATTTATGCACTAGATAAGTCAAGGAAGTGTGCAAAAGAGGGTTCCAGCTTATATAAAAACCCCACAAAGCAAGGACCAAAAGATCCGAACATGATATGTTTTAGGTTCTCCCGCACCTATAGGATATTTGACATATCATGTGAACCCAAAGAAAAACTAGAAAATGCAATAGCACAGTACAAGCAAGGAATTGCAGGCTCCCATACATTATGCTAGCAAGTTGCGCAAGAAATGATAGAAAAAATCCGGCTCCAGTAGTAGCAATAAATTACTGTGGACACTAAAAAGGTGGAGCGCATGGTGAAAATTCTCAATTCTCAGATGTAAATGGAAGCCAACTGAGAAAAAAACAGATGATCAGCTAAGGAAGATTTCAGGTATGTAGCCTCACAAAGGAAGATGGTGTACGGAGTGATTGATGTTCATACTTTTTAAATTAACGAAAGATTCAAAGGCTTACGAATTAACAGCGATAGCAAAATAAAAAGTAAAAAAGAAGCAGAGATAGAATCTTCTCCACATCTGAAATTTATACAGGACTTGATTAATTTTAAAATTCAAGTTAAAGATATATAACAGGTAAAGCATGAAATAATACTGGGCATTAAGAATAGATAAAGAGGAGTTAATCTTTCGCATAAGAGATGATCCATCCTTGCAACAAAAGTTGATGACTCAGTGGTGTCAATGTCGAACTAGCGACAGGGCTTGAAATTCTTGATATTACTGACAAATAAAATTTTCTCAGCCCAGGAAGATTTCCCAAAGCATTCAACTATGGTCAAAGTTATAAGGATACGAACAAAAATATCTAATCATTCTTCTCTGTTACGGGTCATAAAGACTAACCAAAAGAAAAGATGAGCAAAAGAAAAAGTACCTGTTTGATCCATTGTTTACATTTGATATTGTAAATACATCTAGTGAGTTGTTCGAAAAATTGACAAAGTCAATATCCTCAAGCTGATCGCCCGTGCAGTTTATTGGAAGAAGGATGAAGACTCCAATAACCCCCGCAAATGCAAATACTCTCAAGCTGTAATATTCAGATCAAAAGTAAAATTGTATCAGGTAGAGCCAACGAGGTAAGTGAATACATGACCCAGAGAAGCTAGTGCACCAATTACCATAGCCACAACTCATTAATTAATGGAGACAAATATGAACAGCAAGAAGAAAGGCTAACAAATATCCAATGTTCAGATCAAACTTCTCTCATCCCAGTCACTTCTTTAGAGAAATTCTATAATAAAACTGCTTTTTTAATTGTTTCTTTGTTTACTAGAGCTTATTGTTTATACTTGATGCTCTGGCATGATGGATTTTCTCCATACACATCATGTAGAAGAAGTTAAAAAGCATTCCCCTCAATCACACAGAGAGGGATGTATTCCATGAAATCAGTTATCCAATGAACACGACAAATGAAAACTCACAATCAGTCTGAATCCCGAATGACACATTAACAAGGGTTTTAAATCATTATATAAATCAGAAGAAACATAAGCAAACTTTCAACTGTCACAAATTAGCTTCTACTCTCATGCGGAATTCAATTTGAGATATGCTACACAGAAAGAGATCCTGCTCACTACCCATTGCACTGACCCTAATAAGCTGTGCAAGGAATCATGAAACCATCAAATCTTCTCAGGAATTTTGGGTAAATAGGTCTATTCAAGCATTCAATGTTGGAATGCATCCACTATGTCACCTCAGCATAACTTAAGACAACAGGGCTGAGAAAGGGAGGGAATGCAAAGAGAACTAAGGGATTGACACCTGCTGGCTAGACAGCTTTACCTATAAGAATCAGGAAATACTTACACAACATAATACAGCTTAAATACAGCTTCAACATGGCCTCAGATCCTTCCAATAAATGATACTTAGATGAGGCTAAACCAAAGAATAATTCAGCCTTCGGATTCAAATATCCAATTCAGAGGAGTTGCTACTATCCATGACTACTAAATAATCATGAAGCAGCAAGGTCATAATATTAAGCCAAAATACTAGTGCTCTTGCTTACAGACAGGAAGTAATCGAAGAAGTAAAGTAAACCATAAAGATGGCGTTAAGACTTAAGGTTATGGAGCCTGCACCAGTCATGGCTAAATCTCATGTGAAATGGCTGAGGAAACTAAAAAAGTTGTTAAAAAGGTTCTGTTTTCTGAATTAAGAAAAATGTAAGGATGACTTCTTAATCAAGAGGAACACAAATATTTCAATCCTCCACTTGGAACATTCAGCAAGCAGGTTCTGTTTGTTAATTCTATTTCCTCTAAATCGTGTCATTTCCCGCAGGAGATATTTAGCTGTCTTACTGAATTCTAGGCATCTTTCTATAACAGTTCCCACTGTAAGTTTGAAAGTTTCATCATATCGACTTTAAACCAAACAGAATTCAGATGCGTCACTTCCACGGGAGAAATGGGAGGGGAAGAACATCCTTAAGCAGCGTCTTTGAAGCACTCAGCAATCCTTATTACGAATAAATTCTGAAAATGGGCATCCTCATTCCAGCACTAAGAGAAACTCCCAAATCAAGTAAGTGATACCCATCAAAAGAAAGACAAAGAAATCGGGTTGAACTTAGAACTGGTGACAAGAATGCTCGTATCCCAAGAGCTTGAATTACCTGAAAATAATAATCCGCATAAATACGACAGCATCCAAGCCTGATCTAGATAATAGTTCCTCTTCAGAAAGCTTCCATGCCTTCTTCACCCACCCCGGAGAAGGAAGTAATCTCTCTAGGTTGAAATGGCTTCTCCTTTTAGATTTCCCCTCAGCTACCAATCGCGGTATATAAACTTCATAGTTACTTGGTTGCTTTCTCAGGACTGAGTATAGTATGAAGAATAAAAAGCAAAGGCCCGTATTTATTCCAACGGAGGTCAAAAGAGCAGATACAAGCATTTCTTTCTTATTATCCCAACTACTTCAAAGAAAGAAGGGATAAACTGCTAATTCCTGCGAGTTAAAAAGTAGGAGTATTAGAAAAAAAACATGAAAAGGAAGCACACAATAACACACAGAGAGAAAGAGATGTAATTTTGCATTTCAGGGCTTTAAGCTGCAAGAACATAGTGCATCTCTGAAGCACGTGGAATTACTCAAACGCCATCTTCAAAATTTTGAAACTAGATCTCGATAAATAGAACTCGCACACGACAAGCAAATCCGGGTGCACATAATAAATTTACATCCTCATGTTTCAAATTCGAAATCCCTGTATATTGCAGTGAAGAACATTAACAGGAAGATGCATCCCAAAAACAAAGCCAACAGCACGTTAAGTATGTATGCCTCAATCAACCAACTCAGTTCAAGCATGTAACTTTGCAGCTTAAACTGGTAACGTATTCAAAACTCCTGGGGATGATCGCAGGAGAAAGCAGAGTTAAGGAAATGAACCCCACTTCGCGTCTCACTCTAAAACATTCTGCGAATCTAACAACAAGACCACGAACAGAGATCGGGAACAGTCGCATATTCATCAAACAGCAAGCAGGGAAACGAACAGGAAGCATCGAACCTGGTGCCTCCTTCCAACGAGAAGCTAAAACGAGAAATGGGTATATGGGGACCGCGTAGGATCTGCTGCTAGCACCAGTTAAGGTAGCTAGAGATTGAAGTGGCACCTGCTTATTAATAATTGGTAGCCCAGATCAAAGCGACCGGACAAAATGACCCAGAATCTGATGTAACGAGAAGAGTAGTTAGTCGGATAGAGCTATACATATGCCTTCTTTTACACGGTAGCAATCTAAAACAGGTGAAACCGAGTGAAGTTTCCCCCTTGCAGCTCGGTGAACACACTTCTCTCTCTTTCACTTTTGCTTTTCTGTCTTCTTGAGCCAAGAAAGAAGAAAAAGAACAGCGACCCAATTTCGTCGCGATGCGGTTAGTGACAGAACAGGTCCGGAGGCTCGACGGGAACGGGTCCTCGTTTCTCGACCGATCTTGACGTGGGGAGATGGCGCTGGCCGATTGGTGGTGGTGGTGATGATGGGCGTGGCGCTATATAGTTTAATGTGGGTGGGGGGGGGGGGGGGAAGACGGGTGGTTGCCGAAGTCGTCAGCAGCAAAAAGTTAGTGGCTGAGGCCAACGGCTAGTCAAGCTCGTCATCACCACGCCACGGATGGGAGGAAGGGGATCGCGTCGCAGCTCCGGGAAGGAGAGCATCATTACAACAGCTGAGTTACAGCTGAATTCCACGTATCTTTTGAGGGGCGTTGGGCCTCTACTTCTTCTCGGAGAGCACGTTGGGCCCAATCTGTCGACCACTGGACCGTATCATTGGGCAGCCTGCGGTTCCATGGGGCTATCCAAGCCCAGTAAGCCCGAAGTGTAAACGGGTGGACCTCGACAATAATAACTTTTTGATACCGCGAAAAATCCCAAACCGGTATACCTGTAACAAATTTACCCAAAACTAAGTTTTTGACCATCAAGGACCCTGAACTCGTAACACTTGTGACAGATTTACCCTTTGTTAAATTGGATTAATATCGCGAAAAATCACAAACTGGTAAATCCGTGATAAACATAGGGGTAAAACCCTAAACTGATATACATGTCAACTATCACGTGTCATCAAACTCAACAATTTGACTGTAAAATTTAACGCAAACTAATGAAGGGTAAATTTATCACAGATGTACCAGTTTGGAGTTTTTTGTAGTGAAAAAAATTAGTTTTTGGTAAATTTGTCACAAGTGTACCAGTTTGGGGTTTTTTGTAGTATTAACTCGACAAATTAATATTTTGCTCGATCATGAGTGAGCTTGGGTAAGAATTTCTAGGCTCGGGTTTCCATTGATTTGATCTTCTAGTTACCTCATGAGCGTTGCACTATCACGGTGATAGCGCCTCACGGTCATGGCAAATCACGAAAAAGCTGGCTTCCTCGGCTTCAAGCTAAGACTTTGCGGCTTGTACGGCGCTAATTTATACTTTTACAAGACTTACCCAATATCGCATAAATGATGTACAATTAGAAACATACCCTTGCACCCACCATCCCACCTCTGATTTCACTCTCGGCATTTCTACTCGGGTTCATTACCAACACAATACTATTCGCTCTTATAGCAACTTGCTTGTGCCTACCTGGATTAAAAAACATGTCGTGTTAGTTTGAAACCACCCGAGACATACTTATCGGCACGATAGCCCCAAACATTGGCAATGTAAGATCAGAGACACATCCAATGGTCAAGACAAGCAATAAATATACATTGGTAAAAGAAAAAATCGATGCGCCCTCGATCCACGCAATATCGTGTTCTTTAGAATGTGCATCTACTTTGATCTCCAATATAGTTTCAAATCGATATGCTATTCAATGAAGTTGAAAGGCTGTGTGGTGTGTTTTTCTATTTTTTGGGTAGCAAAATTTCAGTTGAGCAACTCCCATATTTGTCCTTAGATGGAAGAGACACAAGTGAAGAACTATAAAAAGCTTACAAACTGTTTCTCCCCAAAATTAAATTTATCCGGATTAATTTTATTATTACTTTTTGTTTGAGGTTCGTGCACTTTGGCATTTTCAAATTTAAACAATTGAAACAATTGTAAAAGAGTATAGAATATCCACATATAATTTTTCGAAATCCAGATGATATTCTGAATTTTGTCAGATAAGCAAAATATTATTTTTTGACTTTAATTGAACCGAAACAAGCAAACCCTTAAGCTATTAGGACTCGGATCAACAATATATGCTTAGTACATTAACAAAACTAATATGATAAATTCGCACATGCTTAATAAATAACGACGTAAAATTATTAGTAAATTACTTAAACTCGAAATTAACTGAGGCTTTTTTACTTCAGTTTTCAATGTTAAGTGGCCAATGAGAGAGAGAGAGAGAGAGAGGCCTTAGAGAGCTTATGTGGCATAGTCATAGAAATCTCAAAAATGCCAAGTGGAATTTTTCTAAAGTGTGTGGACCGACTCGCTTTTTATTATAAACTTTTCTCGGAGAGTTTGCTTTGTTCAATGTGTGCCCCGTCAATGCTCGCGCATAAAATCCGTTTTAAATCAATAAATGCTCGAATAAAAATTTGTCACATCGTTCGATATGATTTTCATCGGAAAAAAAATCTCAATAATGGCTAGCACCAAAAGGACAAAACGATCAATTTCTACGAAAAAGATATTTTCTCTCTCGACAAAAATATCATTCCAAATAACACCAAAAACGTGCGCTGTCGGATTCAACTGGATAATCCTTCTTTATTCACTAATTTTTCCGGTTCTCTTTTTTTTTTGTTAGTAAAAAAGAACTCGTGTGAATATGAAATATCTATTTTAAAGACATTCAATGACTTTTTTGGCGAAAAGAAGACCTCATTTCAATTAACATATCTACCCAAAATATCGAGTGGTGCCATCACTAACAATAAATGATCCATTTTATTCACGGAAAATCAACTATCCGAAATAATATCTTTCTTGAAAACGATGATTTAGACAGTTTAGGAAAATGGATCAACAAATAAATTTCAATAGTGATCGGGCACATATTTTATTGATGATGAAAATATTATCCGGCGACTAATTTATCCAAGCGATGCAAATGATTGTTGTTTTAAGATGATATTTTTCAAATGACTGATTTTTCACCGACGTGCGCCAATCAAGAACTTTGTTAACGAGTTCCTCGCGACACTTATTAACCAACTAACGAGTCATGCTTTCATGGGACCACCGTAGATGGTATCGAGTTTACTAGACTCACGTGGTACTTCTTCGACCATTTATCAATCTGATTCCTTTTTTCTCTCTTATGTTGACTTGATTAGACATATCTTTTTCATGGTCGAGGAAAAGTGACACTAATCCTCCGTTTGTCTCGCAAAAAAATAAATAATGTGAAAAATATTTTACTAAAAATATCAATTATATTGCTCACAAAATGAATGAATGAAATTTTTTTTCATCGTTCGCAAAAGTATTTTGATACAAATTATTATAAATGATGAAAATATTTTTATTGGCTAATTATTATAAGTGAAATAAACGAACATTTTTTTGGAAAGTATTTTTTCAAATCATTTATTTTTCGCGAAACAAACCGAGTCTAATATTAATGGCATTTTTAGTGTAATTAATGGCGATTAATTCTGTTTATGATTAACTTTGACATAAAACCGATGCAATTAGTTTTGCAACAGAGAGCCAACATCCGAAACATTCTCGGACCAAAACGGATCATTCTTTTGCCTCCTCTGCTCCATATCCATGGCGACCGGCGGCGCCAGAGCACCCGGCGAAGAAGAAGAAGTGGCCGTGGACGACGAGTGGCAGTACGTTCAATCCGCTGATCCTCCGCCGTCTCTCCGCTTACCTCCCTCTTCTTCGAGTTCCACCCAATGGGACACCACCGTCGCCGTCGCCGTCGGCGGAGATGACTTCCTCCAACTCCAACGCCGTCGCCCCTCCTCTGTCATCCCTCCCGTCCACCACCAAGGCCTCGACCGTGTCCCGCCGCCGCCACCGCATAAACCCACTTCGCCTTCCTCTTCCTCGTCTCCTTCGTGGCGGTCGCCATCGTCATCTTCTTCTTCCTCTTCGCCTTCTCCTCCCAGTGGGACGGAGGACGAACCGCAATCGCCGCCGCCGAGTCGTCCGCTCGCTGCAATTCTCAGGTCCGGCGCCTGCGGGATTGCTTCGAGGGTCCGCCACTGCGCGCTCCTCGTGGGGGGTTTCTGGTCGTTCAGCTCGGCTGCTGCGGCGGCGGCCGGGGTGGCGGCGGCGGTCCTGCTCTCGTTGGCATACGTGAGAATGCAGAGGAAGAGGTGGCGGTGGTGGAGAAGGGACAGAGTCCCCGTGGAGGCGAGCGAGAACCGCCTCCGCCTCCTCATCAAAGACAAGGACCAGGTAACGAATAGGGACTTGCAAATTGCAAATTGCAATCTCCTCGTCGCTCCGCGAATTCTTGATTTGCATGATAGAGCTGATGATTCCAAGCTAAAAGAATTCACCTGGGTTTGCCTCTGTGTCTAGCTGTAATTGCTTGAGAATTCACCTGGGCATGCCTCTGTTTCTAGCTGTAATTGCTTTCTCTTCTGGTTTTTCAAGGCTTCACAGATTCATGTGCTTCTTCAGCACGTAAAATGAGGTAAGGAACTGTAATTGCGAGGATGGGAAATGAAAGACGTTTTAGTTGTTTCTCAAGTAAAGGGATTCACTTGGGATTTGTTCTATTTCAGAAAGAGTTGTTCAACGTCAAAAGATTCAGATAACTTTATTAAGCTCTTGAGAATTAGGATCTGCTGGATTTTGGAGCGAAACCAATGTTAAAGGCAGCGAAACGATGTCGATCCATATATGGTTTCTGAACAACTTATCAGTTCAGTCAGCAGAAACTACTTGGATCAACAAGATATCCAGGCATCTAGTTTCCAGTCGATACGAAAAAAGAACCGAACTTTTCTTGGAAAGATGTCAAGAACAAGCAGTCAGCTGCACAATTTGGTAGTTTGTGAGTTGGGCTAACCCGAGCTATGGCTCGTCACCTGTGCATAGCCGATGCCTGTTCGATTAGAGTTCATTCTTCTGTAGAAAAACCAGAGACTCTTCGCCGAGTGAATATTACGGTTCGAATAACAGAATCCAAGTAAAAGGGTCAGAACATCTCATAGTTGAGCTTCAGTGAGAAGTCTGTCCGATTTCTCATATGCTGTAGGGCTCCCTGATTTATGTATCTACTCGGATAGCTATAGCTCGAAACGAGAAATCACGAACTGCGATCCACTTTGTTAAAGATGGAACTCGATGTTAGTAGTGAATATTCGGTCATGTAAACTAGGCCCCTTTTGTACAGTTAATACTACAATTTGAGGTAACATTTCGCCTTCCTGGAACTTTTTCATTGTTCTGCATTGCTTCTTGCATCTAGTCGTACAGAAACATCCGCCTCTATTATAACCACTGCACTGACCCTGGATTGATCTTTTGGATTGCGCAGAAGATCAGCCAACTCTTGCTTCAAATTGCACAGATGAACGAACTCATGTTAGCTCGGCGACGGGTTCAGGTGCTCCGAGTCGGCGATTAATGCTTTCGATCTCTAGTAAGTCATGACTCTCCGGTGACCCGTTCCTCGAAGCCATGATGCTCCAGCCGCCTTGAGAATTGATGTGAAAATGCAAGGTTTTTCGGCTTCCGGTCAATATATATGTATGGAGGGAATACACACTTGGAACTGCTTATTAAGTCATGCTTCTGTAAAGACAATCGGTGACTGCACCAATATATATTATTGTTGTCTTATCCGTGGAAATTCCTGTCATTTTGCTATGCTGAATGGTCTGCGTAGTTTATTTTAGGGAGAAGTATATTGAAAGTGTAATAAGTTTTAAAACTTTCAGAAAGTGTAATTACGTCCTGAACTTGTCATGAAAATGCAATTGAATCTTAAAACTTTTTTTTTATTTTTAAATTTTAGTTCTTGAACTTTTTGAATAAAATATAATATCATCCTTCCTTTAAAAACGTACACTAATGAAAATTGTTGATGTAGTTGCTAACGTCGATTGATAGTTAAGTATAAGAGCTGGCATATGGTCTAATCCCTCTAATCTGTCGTGATTTCTCCTAATCCTTCTTCTCTGTTTCTTTGCTTCATATAATCAGGATTGTGTATTTGGAACCCATCCTCTTCCCTCCTATCTCCTCCTAAAATATGTCCAAAAGCTCATTTTGATCCTAACTCGATCGTGAACATGTGAGATCTCTAATGCAAGTCATACGACATCAAATTCGAAGTCGTGAAACCTCCGATCTGAGGTCTATGACCTCAAATCTAAGACGCATGTATGGACTAGACGCGTGTGCACATTGTTAGCCACCCATCTAAGTCCTCGTGATCCTAGATTAATTATCAGTAATTTTTCTTTTCGTTCCTATCTCGTCACATAAAATGTTAATTCTTACGGTGGACGAACATTTAAGCAAATTTCAATATAAGTTAAGAAAGAACTAAATTTTTTTTATTTAAGAAGTAATAAAAAAATTAGTGTTGGGATTGAACAATGAAGAAAAATTTAGGCACTAGTAGCGTTATTATCCATAAATCTAATATATTTAAATTATTAAAGTAGTTCCAGCAAAATACATGACTTCGTCATTCTGCCTTTTAAAATGTTTCTTTTCCCTAAAATTTTAAAAAAAAGAATTTCCCATCCACGTCAGATATAGGGATATTTCGAATCGGTATCATTTCTTCTGGTAAAATAGAGAAGTACTGCAATATTTTTTTCTTTATTGCCAAAAGGAAATTGGTAATAATTTAATTTTTCATTTTTCATTTTTAGCGAATATAAAAATCACCCCATGCTTAGCAGATACTTTAGTTCTTTTCTTGAGAAATAATCCACCAGCGAGGGACTTCCTCTTCCTCTTCTCCTCCTCCTCCTCCTTCTCCTTCTCCTTCCTCCGCCATTGCTAGGGTTTGGATTGGCATCTTCATATTCAGAACAAGGCTCGCGATTCGTGAAGAGATTCCGGTAAGCTGTTGTTGCGTACGTAGCGTAGCAATTTGCAATGCTTGAATCTTGAACGAACGAGAGCTTAGATACGAGAGGGAGCCTTCTTCTGACCTCGGCTAGGGTTTCGAATCGGTTTCTTCGATCTCTTCTTTTGCCTGTAGGTCGTCGAATCCGTCGATCCAGATCGCAAATCGCAGGCTGGCGAGCGATTTTAGTAGCTCTGCTTCTGCTGTGTCAGTCTTCTTGCTGCTGTAATTCTGCTGCAATTCTGTAGTTTTGTTTCCGCGCCTCGCTTTCTCCATGCACTGTTACGACTTAGCAGGCCTTGCTTAGCGTTTGTCTTGTCACATAGCGGTCGAGTTGATTGAGTACGCTTGCTTTCTTTGATATCGTATGTCTGAGGCTCTTCGTGTAACGAGTCAGATTCAGGTATACACACTCTGCGAATCATCGGTGTAAATCATCGGTATTGAGTGTTTTAACACCTTTACTCCCTTGAGCACAGAACGAACGAGCATCCAAAAGAGGTGGGGATGATATCATTTTTGAAATTTAATTTAATAGGTTAATGTTGAATTTAATGCCTGTGAGATTATTTACAAGTTTTGGGTTGCAGCGGCAGCTGTTGACTGAATACAAGTGATAGATGGCAGATGATTTAGATGATTTCAAGTTATGGGTCGATTGTTCGGAAGATGAAGTGTCTTCAGATAATGTTATGTCGTGTTCTTTTTTGTATGTTCAGTATATGTTTATTCAAAAGGTTTAGGGAGGTTGCAGAGCATATCTTTTTGGGGAAGGTCCAAGCGTTCTCTTTTTTGCTTGTGACTTGCACCCCTTCAGTTTCTAATGTTATGAAGGTCAATAGAAGCTGACATGTGTGATTTTTGGTAGTAGTGGCGAAAGTTGCCATGAATGGCTGCATTACCACCGCTACATGCCATGTTTTAGGAGGGTTTTGTTGAGAATAAGTGAGGATGATTGTTATAGGCGTGGTATTAGGGGCGCTGGCAAGTAATGCATTAGGTGGTGGCAGAATGTTCTGTCATGGTGGTTCTGGTTTTACTGTCGATTGGCAGAAGATAAGTAAGTTATATAAGTCATTAGAATACATATGATTATTCCAAAAATTGATTTGCTGCTTTCAAGAGGTGATCGGGTGTGATCTTCTTATAGACAGTGAACACTTTCCCCTGACCAGCTTTACTGTCTGTTTCCTGATGCTAAGAAATCGTGTGGTTTTTCTTTGCATTTGCTTTATTAGGATAAAAATGTGAATCATAATACTGATTATTTGTGGCAAAGCACCCGTTGGAAAATTATTTTGACTTTTATGAGGTTATCGTTTGTATGTTTGCACCTTGTAAATGCGAGGGTTCGAGCAGAGACTGCAAGTTGATGAATCTAGTCAAGAACTTTTATGATTGGCTGCTTTGCAAATTACATGAGTTCTTCTACTTTTCCCTCATCTACTCTGGCTTCGGTTATTTCTTGGTGGTCGAGCATCCATCTAACATCAAATTGGTATTTCATGTTCTCCAGGGTTTTGACTTTTTGAACAAAAATGTCGACGTCTTATCTCCCGGCAACAACTGATTCGGTTGCTCAGGCTTTAGAGGCCAAAACTCCATCAGAATCTATATCTATCCTGTACCGTATTCTTGAAAACCCTTCATCGTCCCCTGAAGCCCTCCGAATCAAAGAGCAGGCCATCACTAATTTGTCAGATCTTTTGAGGCAGGAGAATCGGGCAGAGGATCTTCGTAGCCTTCTGACCCAATTGAGGCCTTATTTTTCCTTGATTCCAAAGGCAAAAACCGCAAAAATTGTTAGGAGTATAATCGATGCAGTGGCTAAGATTCCAGGCACATCTGATCTTCAGATTTCTCTTTGCAAAGAGATGGTTCAGTGGACCCGTGCAGAGAAGCGAACTTTCTTGCGGCAAAGAGTCGAAGCGAGGCTTGCGGCACTTCTGATGGAAAATAAGGAATTTGTCGAAGCACTAAACCTACTTTCAGGTTTAATTAAGGAAGTGAGAAGACTCGATGACAAGCTTCTGCTGGTGGACATTAACTTGCTGGAGAGTAAGCTTCATTTCTCCTTGAGAAATCTTCCCAAAGCCAAGGCTGCTCTTACAGCAGCGAGAACAGCTGCAAATGCCATTTACGTGCCTCCAGCTCAGCAGGGCACCATAGATTTGCAGAGCGGGATTCTTCATGCTGAAGAGAAGGATTATAAAACAGCATACAGTTATTTCTTCGAGGCATTTGAAGCATTTAATGCTCTCGAAGATCCAAGGGCAGTGTTTAGCCTCAAGTACATGTTGTTATGCAAGATTATGGTAAATCAGGCGGATGATGTAGCAGGAGTAATATCATCCAAGGCTGGTTTGCAATATGTGGGGCCAGAGCTTGATGCCATGAAAGCTGTTGCTGATGCCCACTCGAAGCGATCCTTGAAGCTATTTGAGACTGCACTGAGGAATTTCAAAGCCCAGCTGGAGGAAGACCCAATTGTCCACAGGCACCTCTCTTCCCTGTACGACACTTTGTTAGAACAGAATCTCTGCAGGTTGATTGAACCTTATTCTAGGGTCGAGATCTCCCATATTGCTGAGTTGATCGAATTGCCCGGGGATCACGTGGAGAAGAAACTGTCCCAAATGATTCTCGACAAGAAGTTTGCTGGGACTTTGGATCAGGGTGCCGGATGCCTCATCATTTTCAACGACCCTAAGACTGATGCTCTCTACCCGGCAACACTGGAAACCATTTCCAACATCGGCAAGGTCGTGGATAGCCTGTACGTGAGGTCTGCTAAGATCATGGCTTGAGCTTCTCGGACTTGCTGAGGCAGTTGTTGGTGTTGCCGCATGCCTGTCCTTGCGAAGGCCGTGTCGCGGTCGAGCTTACTTCATGGAACTGGGAGCTAATTGCCTTTTCCTTGATGGATTTATCTTTTTTCTTTCTAATTTGTTCCCTTTGCTTTGCTAGACTCGCATCTTTCCGTGTCCTTAACTTTTAGCTAGCTGCAGCTCCGCAGTTGGATGAGACTAGCTTTGACCAATTGGGTCAATTTCCTTCATCTTAGGCATGATGTGCTTGGACAAAGATCGGTTGGTTTATCTCAAAATTGCCCTTCATTTTCATCAGTTTGTGGAAAGTACGATTTTACAGCGTTGTTTTGTTATGTCGTGAAGAGAAGTAATTACGTGATTGCATAGAGTCGTGTAAACATCAGACTTTGTGGTGATTGAAATGCTCCGTCGCCTGGGGAGAGAGCCATGGCGAGCTTGTCAACGAGTTCACTGCGTCAAATTTAGCCAATTTGCGTGTATTTATTAGCTATTTCCGACATCTAGTCATGACTAAATTTGGGCAAGCAAAAAAAAAACAGAGGTTTTTGACAATATGGTAAAAATTACATGCGATTCTGTAAAGCCATATTTGAATAGTCTATAAGACTTTTAAGTATTACGAGTTAAATGGAAGTCGAGTTGCGAATTTTACAAAAATTGTAATAAGTCAAAGATGTAAAAGTGAAGCTAGAAAAGAGACATCGTGGAATATGGCATTGAACATCGCTACGATTATAGTTCTAGATTGTTGAAGCCAACAAAAATTGAAAAATGAGACCTTAATGTGCAGATGTGAATGAATAAATGAGTAATGGATGTATTTTTTTTAAAAATATTTTATTACTTTTGAGATATATATATATATATATACACGCAATATTTTAGCTAAAACCCTTGTCGATTGTCTGACTTCTTGCTTTCCACAAATGTCCTTGCTATATATAAGCATCGTTTCCTCTGAATATTTTTCGGGTGCCAATATAGTTTAGAGACAGTATTGTTAATGTTTTTATCCCTACATATTTTACATATGATGGTTCATTTTATCCCTAGAATAATATTACAGATTAATTTAGTAAATATAATTTACAATATCACCTTAAAAGTAGTTGCGTGTGCATAGGGCGTGTGTATAAATGGTACTATTTACATCTCGTTTCTTTTGTGAGTTGTAAGTTTTGTCGACCTTAAAGGTTGGAGATTATGGAAAACAACCTGCTCAATTTTTCTATCCTCTTCGTCTTTCAAGGATCCAAAATATGGGTTCATCAAATACGGTTTTAACGGTTGTTCATCTTTACAAGAAATGATTTGAAAAGTTGTACGACTTTGATCTTCTCTTGAAATTCAATCGAAGTTCTTTTTTCTAATTATTTACGAATCAAAGGGTCCACTTATCATAAAAAAGAAAAAAAAAATCAAGGAATGATCCCTTATGATCTATGAAGTATTCTCACGACTAATTTTGTCTATATCTCTCAATTACTTTGAACAATGACAACGGAGAGGATTATACGCATCACAGAGTATAAATAAGTAACGAGTAAAAGTTTGGCAAAAGAAATTTCAGGAAAAGAGAAACCAAAATCTTTTTTCGCTTATCTTGCAACGTCCGGAATTTACGTTTCTCGATCGAAATAAAAGCTATTGTAATTTCCAAAAATAACGAGAAGTTACTCAAAGGTTCTGAAGAATATAGCTTCTGCGTATTTGCAAGATTTTAGATAATCCAAACTAAAATAAAAGAGTTTGCTCAAACATTAATAAAACATAGGAAAAAAAAATAAAAAAGCAAAAGTGACCGCTCAACACTTATGAGTGGGGACTTTACCAATATTGTAATTATCATTAGAAGGATCATGGTTCCTAGATAAATCCGGGAACCGGAGAATCGGAACCATGGAGAACCAGTTTAGTTTCAAATTTCGGGGTATGCATGGTAGGTAGTTGGGGAACCGATTTCGACGGGTACGTTCAAAGTTTTACCTGGAACAGGTCTCTGTATCTTTTTCGTTACATGTCTTTGCATAATCTTGCAGTATTCCTTCGACAAAAAAAAAAAAAAAAATCCTTTGCGGTATTCCCTGAGAACCATTAATCTGAGCTTCCATTTCCGACAATATCGATGACCGACACTTTCGCTTATATTCTTCGTGTTCGCGTGTCTAATATATGAGTTGTAGTTAGTGAATTGTAGCGGCAGCAAATGGTGGTCATTGGCAATTGTTCAATTAAAGAATGCAGGTGGAACCTGAGTAGACTCTGATAGGGCAGGTTCCAAAAATTTGGGACGGGTATGTTTCAGGTGGAACCTGGATCGATTCCGAAACTGCTCACCGCTAATTATAATGCATTCTTGCACCCACCAATTTTTGTATGACATTTCTTTTTCTCGAAGGAAAATAATTTTCAGGAAAATTTATTTATTTATTTCATTTTGCATCTTTTGCATATCTCTCTCTCTCTCTCTTTCTCTCTCCTCTCACACTGCGACTCGAAGGTCCTCTCTCTGCTTTTTCCACGGGGACACACTTTCTCACTCTTGGTTTTCTGTTTCGGCCGAAGGGAGAATTTTCCTCTCGCTTTCTCCTCCGAAATCGAAAGCGGCGCCCCGTCGTCTCCCCCGGCCAGCTCGCTCGGCCGTCGCGCAGATCGGACTGCGACGGCGATCGATCACCTCGCGGCCCGTCGCCATCGGGAATCGATCCGCGCGCGCGCGCGCGGGGGCTCCGGAGAAGTCCGAGCGGGACGGGACGATCCCGTCGAGGCGGAGGGTTCTTCGGGCGAGCCCGGAAAGGCGGGCGCGGCATTGCGATCGGTCGACGGCGGCGCGGCCGATTCCGACGGTTGCGGTTTGGGCGTCTCCCTTCGCCGGATCTGCCGGAGAAAGAGGTAAATAGAGGCCCGTCTCTCGTCTCGATCTCCTCGCTTCCTGTTCTCGACTTTCGCTGCCTTGCGCTTGATGCTGTCGCTCCTCGGTTGATATTCGTTCTCTCGTCGACGAGGAACGGAAGGAGCGGAGGAAATGCAGTTGTGTCTGAGTTGAATTTCGTTTCTGGTGAGGGAGAAAAAGTGGCGATGGGCCTGAGTCGGGTGATTATGTCTGCGTCATTTTTGGTCGAATTGTCATGGAACGTTGTTTCTTCAGATGTTGAGTCGTGTGTGGAGCTTTGGGCTCCGTTTCTGTTGGCCTGAATTGTCTGAGTAGTGAATTGGAGGGTTAGATCTGCGGTCACTGTTGACCATCCCGTCATTGAGTTTTTTTCTCTTGAATCTTCCCTGAATTGGTGTTACTGCGTATCTTCCGCGTTGTTATTGGTGGCTGAAAATTGAGCTGGATCTGCTAGTGGCTCCGATTGTGAGCAAGTATGGTCACTGTTTCCTTCTTACTTGTGATCATGTTCATGTTGTTTGAGACTTGGGTATGATGTCATTTAAATTGAGGTTTCGACTAAGACCGGAGTTTCCCCTAATTTGAAAGGAGGGAAAATGTCTTAGATTTGATCATCTGATGAGCATCTCTAGATGGTTGTTGGTACTCGGGATTTTGATAATTTTAAATATTGGGGCATGTGATACGGCTGTTAACTGGCTTGGAGGAACTGTCATGTTTGCCTTGTTCATATGCCTTCGTCAGTAGAGGAATTGCAGCAGCGGCTCTTGCAGCTCACTGGTGTTGATGTAACTGATGGATATCTGGTGTGGGTTTATACATTGGAGATTTCCGAATGGAGCACTGCTGTGAGCGGGTGCTGTGACTTGCCACTGCATGTATGTCCAGGGAGGCCGGTTATCTCCTGGCCAAACAGAACAGGAGAAAGTAAAAAATCTGTTGCTGGTCTCACGTCGAAATTTCTTGTCTGTTACTTTTTCTCTGCTTGAATTAGGAATGCTAGAGTATGTCCTTTACAATAATATGTTTCTGACATTCTTATGCACACGAGCTTAGATACTAGAGATTCTACGGCAGCTCATAATAGGCTATTAAAATATCAAGTTGCTTCTCCTGTTAGCCCTCAAGATTTGTTGTGCTCTTGCTTTGATATGCGCCTTAGTTCATCTGTACTGACTATTCCCGCATCTCTTAAGGTAATGACTATTTCTGGAGCTCTGGACCTTTTGCAATAGCAGTTTTGCTTAAATTCACATACCAAGTCCCATCAAAATGGGCCGTTTGAAGATGCCACCTGGAATTAACGCAATTGAGGAAGAACCCGAGGATTATGACTCTTCCTGCTCTAACAAGGCTACTTTAGGCTGCGTGATCAACACAGAAATAGCTGCAGTCTTGGCTGTCATGAGGAGAAATGTAAGATGGGGTGGTCGTTATATGTCAGGAGATGACCAACTGGAGCACTCTCTAATCCAATCTTTGAAGGCACTACGGAAGCAGATTTTTTCTTGGCAGCACCAGTGGCATACTGTCAACCCTATTTTGTATCTCCAACCGTTTCTAGATGTCATTCGATCAGATGAAACAGGTGCACCTATCACTGGTGTCGCATTGTCATCTGTTTATAAGATCTTAACTTTAGATGTGATTGATCAGACCACAGCTAATGTAGAGGATGCAATGCACTTAGTTGTGGACTCTGTGACTAGTTGCCGATTTGAGGTGACTGATCCTGCATCAGAAGAAGTAGTACTGATGAAAATACTTCAAGTTCTTCTGGCTTGTATGAAAAGCAAGGCGTCAGTTATGCTGAGTAATCAACATGTGTGCACTATAGTTAACACTTGTTTCCGTATAGTACATCAAGCTGGTAGCAAGGGTGAGTTGCTTCAACGGATAGCCCGCCACACGATGCATGAACTTGTTCGTTGCATTTTCTCACACCTTCCAGATGTTGACAACACAGAGCATGCATTGGTTAATGGAGGCAATAAGGTGAAGCAAGAGGTACTTATAGCTTCTTCTTCCTGCTGGTTACTTTTCACTCTCTTCTTGTTCAATCAGCCTTCTGGAATGGAATTCTAATTCATAGTAAAAACTGTGTTTGTTTGGTATACTAATGGTTAGCATTTAATTGATTCTTATAGAATACAGCTTCTAATCTATTCTGTCCTCTTATGTTGCCGCATTTATCTTTGAGTTCTTTATTCTGTCTTAACCATTGATGTTGCCATGTCACTTGCCATCTTATAAGTAAGATAAATAAGTAGCTAGAATTTTACTAAATGTGTCTTCTCCAAGAACAAAACTCTGGACATACTACTTGGGATGGCAGTTTTTAGCAATATGACAAGTTATTAGTTGTGCTTTGTATTAAATTTTGAAACACTAGAGAACA